ACGAGATGCAATGACAATAAACTAAACTGCATTTTTCCCGACGCGGCTTTGTTCCGCAGATAAGTTCTGGAAGCAGCGGGTCGGCCCCATCTTCTTGTACACAGGCAACGAAGGGAACATCTGGGATTTCGCCCTCAACACCGGCTTCCTGCTGGAGCTGGCAGAGCAGCAGAGGGCCCTGGTGGTCTTTGCAGAACACGTAAGGGGGCCTGTCGTCTCCGGGCAGGGTGGGCAGGAGGGCCCTTGAAGGAGGGGCTGCCATGGCCCCAGATGGTCACTGGCTGCTCTTCCCTCCGGTTTCTTTTAAGAGGTATTACGGGAAATCGCTTCCGTTCGGAGCAGCATCCCTGCAGGGGCCGAACATCGGCCTGCTGAGCGTGGAGCAGGCCTTGGCCGATTACGCGGTTCTCATCGCGTGGCTGAAGGAGCAGCACCAAGCGCAGGGCGCGCCAGTCATCGCCTTCGGGGGCAGGTGAGGGGGGGCTTCCGGGCGGGCAAAATATTGGGTGCGCCAGGTGGCAATGAGGCCGTGATCCCTTTTAGCGAGCCAAAAAGTATCTGCTTCCTCTGTCCAGGAATTAGAATTAGAATTCTTTTATTGGCCAAGTGTGCTTGGACACACAAGGAATTTGCCTTGGTGCAAATGCTCTCAGTGTCCATAAAAGAAAAGATGCATTCGTCAAGAGTCAAGAATCATCAGGGACAGCACTTAATAATAGTCATAGGGTGCAATATGTAATCATACCAGGAAACAGTCAGTAAAAATCACAAGGATACAAGCGACAGAGTTACAGTCATACACTCACAAGTGGGAGGGGATGGGCGATAACGAGTGATGAGATTAATAGTAAGAGTAGTGTAGACTTAGTAAATAGTTGGACAGTGTTGAGGGAATGATTTGTTTGGCAGAGTGATGGTGTTGGGGGAAAAACTCTCCTTGTGTCTAGTTGTTCTGGGGTGCAGTGCTCTAAACCCCCCCCCCCAACCTTCTCCTTCTCCTCTTCACAGTTATGGAGGGATGCTCAGCGCCTACATGAGGCTGAAGTACCCCAACCTGGTGGCCGGGGCCCTTGCTGCCAGCGCCCCTGTGCTGTCCACGGCAGGGATTGGGGACCCTGGCCAGTTCTTCAAGGATGTCACAACAGTGAGACAAGGCACCTTTATCGGGGCTCCCTTTTTCCTGATCACCCCCACATTCCCCCCCAGTGAATCTGAAATAATCCAATTCGCTTTCTGGCTCAGTTTGGGAATTTCGTCTCTTTCTTTTTATTTATTTCACTTATTTTCAAAATTACACATCTCTATTTACATTGTTCAACAGTATTGCGCCATCGATATTACATATGTTTACATTTAATATCTATACATTTATCCTTATTCCTACGTTCTGTCCACTTATGCCATCTATCCCATACTGCATAGCATTCGGATTCTTCCTCGTCTTTTAGTTCTATTGTAAGTTTGTCCATCTTGGCACATTCTAATGTTTTTCTGTATTAACAAATCTTCGGATGGTACGTTTTCTAACTTCCACCCCTGTACAAAAACTCTCCTCGCCGCTGTTATTCTATGCAACAGGATGCATTGTGGAATTTCTTGCAGGACTTTCAGAACTACAGTCCAGAGTGTGCCAAAGCTGTCCGAGAAGCATTCAGACAAATCAGAGACCTTAGCCTCATTGGAGGTAAAGGAAGGAGCGAACACAAAGTGGGGGCGAACACATTTTAGGGTGTGAAGTTGTAGGTGGTTTGTGACTGAACACGTTGCTGCCCTACACTTGACCAGGATGGTTGAAACCAGTGGCTGCCAACCGGTGGGCCGGGGACTACTGGTGGTCCACGAGATAATTTTGGTGGCCTGCAGAGAAATGTCACCCCCAAAGCAATTAATCCAGGCTGCGTGGGAACACAAGGCTACGCCGCCCACGTGGCCTGTGGGAACACAAGGCTTGTGTCGCTTGCATTGCAAACACGAGGTAGTGAGGGGAGGGGGGAAAGGGTGGAGGGGGGAACTTGCCCCACTCGACTCATGCGTCTCGCCTGGGCAATGGGCTGCTTCTTTCCGCTTCTTTCTTCTCCTTTTTTTAGCTGCACACAAGGAAAGCAGCAAAAGTCTTTCTTTCTCTCCCCCAAACTCCACCAGAAATGAGTCTTTGGGGCCCTGCAAGAGGCTGCGCCAGCAAAGACTCATTTCTGGCAGAGTTTGGGGGAGAGAAAGAAAGACTTCTGCGGCTGCTGCTGCTTTCCTTGCATGAAGCCAAAAGTCTCTCTCTCTCTCTCTCCCTGAGAACGGAGCTGGAGACGGTATCCTGCGATTCCCAAATAAAGAACGATCGATCGGTAGGAAAACAGGGTGGGGAATTTTCCTGCAGACTTTTTTAAAGGATTTTCCCAGGGTCTCTGGTCTGCGGGATTTAAAATGATGAGTTTGGTGTGGTCCCTGAGGTCCAAAAGGTTGGCGACCCCTGGTTTAAACCAAAAAAAATATGCAGTTTATTGAACAGGCGGAAGATACCGATTGCAGCACCTTTAAAACTCAAGGGGCCCCTCTCCTTTGTCTTTAAGCCTACGGCAGAATCAGCGCGGAAATGGCTCTCTGCCACCAGCTTTCCAGTCAAGGGGACGTCAAGCAGCTCTTCGAGTTCGCCCGGAACGCCTTCACCATGATGGCTATGATGGATTATCCTTACAAAATAGACTTTATGGGCCACTTTCCAGCGAACCCCGTCAAGGTGAGGGCTGAGCCTCCTTTGGGTGTGGAGCAGCTCGGTCTTTCAGGGTACCCAGCTTGGCAAAACTAAACCCCCCCATTCTTGTGGCGGTGTCCCTTTCGTGCTGATATTGTATTTTTTGAAAAATACGGTAGCAAGCTCCCCGCCCAAGTTCTTTCACGTTTCTTTGCCCAGGGTTGGTGCGTTTGCCAAAGGGTAACCAAACCACGTTCCTTGCCCGCTCTTTCAAGAGATCCTTAAACCGATAAAAGTGACCCTTCCCTCTTCCAGAGGTCTTTAATGAATGAGCCTAGGCGAGGCAGTAATAGAGAGAAATTTGGGCTTTCCCCCCACCCTTTTCCGTGACAATATAAGCATTTGGGCCAGAAAGCGTAAGATTAGTTATGGCATGTTTTTTAAGCTGGCATGAAACCCCAAACGAGCTAGAAAAGAGACCCTATTGGGTCAGCTGGCAGGTAGCCAAACGTGTGTGTGTGTGTGTGTGTGTGTGTGTGCAATGTGCTCAATTGCTTTTGATGGGGAGGGGCCATAGAGAAATTGAGCCTAGACACACCTGATATTTCAGGTTGGCTGTGAACTGATGTTGGCCAGCAAGGACCCCATCCGAGGGCTGGCAGCTCTTTCTGGTGAGTAGACCAGTTTCATTCTGCCAACGCTGCATTTCTCCAGGGGGGGTGGGGGGTGGGGCTCGGAACAGAACCATCCCCAGTTCGTCTCCCTGAGGGGCCACCCCAGGAAAAAAAAAACCCCAAACTGCTTTGCTCCAGCTATTTACCGCCGCCGGCCGAAGTCTCCTCTCTCTCGGTTTCTCCCGGGCTTGCTATCCCGGGCGGCAGGTGAACGAAGCAGCAGGCGTGATCCGCCAGAGTCCGGGGCAGGCAGCCCAACTTGACCCAGGTTCCCCTGCTGGGGTGGCAGACCCAGACGCCGTCCTCTTTGCTCCTCCGCCGCAGAGACCCTCCGCCCATCGCGTAGAGCTGAAGCTGGCTGTGGGTGAGGCTGAAGTGGCAGAGGTCGATGGCCGGCAGGTAGAGCTGGGTCCATTGGTTGGTAACGGGGCAGTAGTACTCCACTTCGCTCACGGGGACCCACTCCTGGCCCTACAAAGAACCAAAGCTTAGGGGCAGAACCGGAGGGCACCGCCAAGGACACTCAGCTGAGCCTCGAGGAATCCCGAGCCCAAAGAGGAATGGGAGCAAATGCCACCTACGCTGGCCAGAGCCCTTCCTCCCAGGCAGAAGATGCGGTCTCCCACCGTTGCCATGCCGTGATCGCAGCGGGCAAAGGCCATCGGCCGGTTCCTGATCCAGCAGCGCAGGCGGGAGAGGTAGCTGTACATGGTGCTCAAGGTCTGGCCCTCGACGAAGCCTCCTGTGCCAAAGGAAAAGGGCCGGGGTTCCTTCAAGGCCTGGGAAGGGGGCTGCCCCAAACCCAGAGTAGCCAGTCTTTGCCCAGGAAGGACCTTTTCCCACCTGAGATATACAAGATGCCTCCGTGCGTCGCCCCCGCGTGGTCAGCCACCGGCACTGGGAAGGCCGGGAGGGGCCGCCAGGCATTCTTGGCAAGGCGGTACTCCTCGGCTGTGTCGGTTGGCATCCCCAGCGGTGCTCCACCCCCCACAGCCACCAGCCGCTCGTTCAGGGCCCCGGCGTAGAAGCGAGTCCTGGGGACCAGCATGCTGGCCAGCTGCAGCCAGGTGTTGTGGCAAGGGTCAAACCTGAACACCTGGAGAGGGGAGAGGGAAGTCTGCCTTGCCGCCAGGAACTCTATGATGCTGGCAGCGAAGAAGCAGGGACATCGGTTCCCCCCCAAGCGCCAGCTGTCTTCGGGTAGCTGCAGTTGTCTTACCTTCTTGGAAGGCTCCTGGCCGGTCGGATCAAAGCTCTCCTGGCCCCCCATCACGAAGACGAAGTCGTGCAGGACGGCCACACAGTGGTTGTACAGTGGCCCACTCAGCTTCCCGATAGCCATCCACGAATGGCAGTGCCGGTCAGCCGCCCAGACATCCCCGCAGACAGCGTTGTCTGCCGATCTGCCCCCCAGCACCATCAGTGCCTCGTTCCTCTGGCGCATCCGGGAGCCCTCGCTCTGGAGAAGCGGCTGCACGTACGGCTGGGCGTGGTAGTCCAGGGCTTCCTGGAGGTACCGGCGGCAAGCAGGCTCAGTTCTCATGACGGGCGTTTCCTGGACGAACCTCTGCAGGTCTGGGAGCGGAATGGAGGGGAAACGGACGTGGCCCAGGACCTCGGCTGCATCCTCCTGGCGGGAGCCGTTGTGCTCCAGCCAGCAAGTGGCGGCCTGAAAGAGCTGCAGTTCGCTCAGTCCCTGGGTGTCTCCTCCGTCCAGCATTTCGCAGAGCGTCGCCCTGTCCAGCTCCTTCAGCTGTGCAGGGTCCTTCAGGAGGTGGCCGCCGTGCTTGCTGACCCAGCGCTGCACTTTTAGCCTCAGCCCTTCTGGGCCGAGCCGGCGAGCGAGGCGAAGGATGGGCAGGCAGGTGTGTCGGTCCAGGGCTCCTTCCAGGAACCGGAAGGAGAGGCGCATCACCTCGCGCACCAGCAGCACCTCAGCTGCCCGGAAGACCTCCTCGACCGTCTGCAGAGTCAGCTCCAGCCGGTTGGAGTAAAGGAAAGACAAGACGCCCTGCAGGCCCCTGGCGGTCACCGGTGGTGCCAGCTTGAGTGGGGTTGCCCGGCCGGCTGCCTCCCTGGCGAAGTGAATCTTGCAATAGCTGCTGGCTACGGCCAGGACGGCTCTGTGGGCAGCGAAGGAGGCCCCCTCGGCCTCCAGCACCACGTCACACAGGGCATTCTGGGAACGGAGGTCCTGGAGCCCCTCCAGGAGTTTAGGCAGGTAGGTGTCTGAGCTGAGACTCTGGCCTCCTGCCACTTCACGCTCCCCTAGAGGCGCCTCTCCAGAGGCCATAGCTCAGAAGCGGCCCTTTCCCTGCCCTCTGCCCATGGGGAGCACCTCTGGGGTTTCTGTCTTCTCTGGACCCGGCCGTGGGATGGCCGGCCTTGCTAGCTGTGCTTCGCTCTTGTTTTTAATGGGCTACCAGGAGAGCAGGACAGCTGATCCCTCATCTCCAAGGCAGCAGCCACCAATCTCCTCCCCTCCCTCCCATTGGTTGGTGTCCACCAAGGTGTGGTGGGTCTCCCTCCGTTTCCTGGTCTGGCCAAAGTGGGGGAAGAGGCAGGTCCAGGCTTGTCCCCTGCTTGGAAGAAAACCTGGCTTCTCCTGCTGTTCCTAGGATTTATACCTCGGCTGAAGAGAAAGAGGTTTTTAACAAGGGATATTTGCAATTTCTCTGCCCAGCCACCAGCAAGAGTTTGCCTTCTACCGTAACAAGCAGAGCTCCCCATTGTACCTGGCCAAAAGGATTTGTCCCCTTTCTGTGTCCTGAATCACATGCTGAAGCCTTAAGCATGTGTGTGTGTGTGTGTGGTGTGTTGACTAAACAACCTCCAACGCTTTCAGTGTTTCCTCCAAGGTTTTTTTTTTTTGTTCTGGCTCTGTGGTTATTTTAGCTGCGTCTCTCCCAAAGAATTTTAATCTGAGACTTTGGAAACAGGATGAGCGTCTTTTAAGGTGGGCTTTGTAGGTGCTCGGTGGGTCCACCAGAATGACTGAGGCTTAAGAAACCACCTCCCCTCTGCCTAACCTTCCCTGCCTCTGTTGAGCACCTAAAATGGACTCAACCTCCTCTTCTTGCTTCCACCAGGAGTATTTTACAACTCCACAGGGACTGAAACGTGCTTTGACATTTACGAGATGTACCATAAATGTTCCGATCCAACAGGCTGTGGCTTAGGCCCCAATGCTGAAGCTTGGGATTATCAGGTAGGTCGGGGGAAAGAGCTGGCGCACCTGGGCTGGCCAGGTACGGAGGCGACTGCGGGGGGGTGGGGGGGTGGAAGCTGCCATTGAAGATATTGAGGCATTTAGAGATGTTAAGAGGGTTTTCTTATTAATCCGTTCTTTTTTATGTATATCCTAAATAAAATAGAAATTATAATTGACTAAACAAAAGGATATGAGAAAATAAAAAATATGGCTCATATGGGAATTTTATAATGAGAATAATATAATTAAAAGTAGGGGAATGAAACTATTTAAATTATAGGAGTAAAATTTGGCTATGTGGAAATAAAGAAAACATGAAATGGTTATATGAATAGCGTTGGAATAAATATAAGATATATTGTAGATTGAGGAATATACCACGTGGATCCTAAATACATTTTAATTTATTATATGTGTGTGTGTATGTATGTATATCTATCTATCTATATCTATCTATCTATCTATCTATCTATCTATCTATCTATCATCTATCTATCTATCTATCTATCTATCTAATGGTGGTCTTGAGTTAATTAATGAAGATAATGTATAAGGCAAAATAAAATGGGTGGTAAGATGAAAATGGAAATAATAGGAGATAAAGAATTGGAAATATAAGTGAGAAAATAACTTTGAGATTGAATTAATGAATTGAAATATAAAATGGAAATTTATTTAAAGATCAGTAGAATGGATAATAATTTGATGTGATATTAAATAAGAAATTTGGAAATGCAAGTACGACTACGTATAAACGTTGTAATCTGGAATCACGTTGCTCGCGTGAAGAGATGTGCAAAATATAAAAATAAAAAAACTTTTTAATAATTTTTTTTAAAAAAGAGGATATCTAGGCGCATTCGATCGCCAGGGATGGAATGGAAAAACATTTCCTAAGTTTGTGGCCTTTCTTACTTGCAAGGTTGCCTGAACGTTTTTGCAAGGTGGGGGGGTGTTTCTTGCTATGGGGCTCCCCCTTCCCAACGGAGGGGCCAGCTTTGTCTGCGCTGAAAGCAGCCAGTACTGGGTTGGGGAGGGGGCTGGGCTGACGCAGCGTAGACAGGGCCCATCCACTCCCCCCTGCGGTTGCTTCTCGCTCTCCTCCGTTCCAGGCCTGCACCGAGATCAACTTAGCTTTCGACAGCAACAACGTGACCGACATGTTTCCCGAACTCCCCTTCACCGAGGCCGCCCGGGAAGGCTACTGCTTCCGCAAGTGGGGGGTTTGGCCCCGGCCATCATGGCTGCGCGTCAACTTCTGGGGCGGCGGTGAGCAGCAGCCTGGGTTGGGATTTCGGCTTGCGGTTGGGTCCCTGAAGGGTCCCCTCTATGCGCTTCGTGGTCTGCGGGCGGAGGGCGCGACTCTGAGGCTTAAAAAGGGGGCAGCAGGACATGGTCCCAGGTTGACAGGTGCCCTGTGGGAGGGGGCTCTTTCTGGGCCCTCTTTTTGTCGGGATACGACCTGAGATGGGAGTGTGAACCTGGGACCTCCTTGTGGGAAAGGCCTGGCTGGTTGAAAGGACCTTTCTGGGAAAGGCAGGCGCTTTTGCAGAGCCGTTGAGTGGTTTTAAGGCAGGTGCTCTCCTCCTGAAACACCACACACACACACACACACACACACACAATGGGGGCTGCCCCTCTCTTGGCCTCCCTCGCTTCAGCCTCCCCACCGTCCCAGGATAACTTTTGTGCACTTCTGTCATTCACACCTTGCTGTGTTCTTTTTGACAACTGGCAGACCTGGCTGCTGCAAGCAACATTATCTTTTCCAACGGAGACCTGGACCCCTGGGCATCCGGCGGGGTAAGTACCTGCTCCGCGTTCCCGGGATCGGCTCAGGATCTACCTGGACCCGTTACCTGCTGTTTCCCTCCCCCCCCTTCCCTGAGGAGTTTTGACTTTCTGATGTTGCCGTTTCAGGTGAGGAAGAACCTGAGCTCCTCCGTGATTGCCATCACCATCAAAGGGGGTGCCCATCACCTCGACCTCCGGTACGTTTGGTCCCCTGGCCTTCTTCCCCAGCTCCTGGGGTTGTAAGGGCTCCTCTTGCTTGGTGGAGCTCTAGGCAGGCTTTTCCTGCTCCTCCTCCCCTCTCTCTGGCCGGGGAGCAGGCTCATCGGTGAGGAAGAGCTGCCTCCCTCTCTGACCTCCCCTCTCCGAACCGCTCCCGGCTTCTACCAGGGAGGGCTGCTGTTGCCGTAGTGCAGGCCGAGGGGCTGAGTTAGGGAGCCCTTTGGTCTCTACCAGGGAGACTCTTCAGAGGTCTCGGGGGGTTTCTCACTCATGGTTATTCCAAGGTGCTTTTTTCCCCCCCAGAAGTCAAAATGGACATTCCTGTTTAAGAAATCAGATGATTCAATGCCCCACCCCTTTTGTTTTTTTAAAGCTTTCGAGAATTTTACAAAAGTTTCAGAAAGAGGAAGCACGGTGATTGCGTTCCCTGGGAGGGAGGGGTGCTGCTACAGCAAGCAAACACACCTTAAAAGCCACCTGGAACCACTCCGTTCCCGTGGTTGGATGGTTGCCCTCTGACAAGCAAGCAGGGATGGTCCACTTCACTGGGCTTAATTTTTTCCCCTCTCCCAAAAAACAGGAGCTCCAACCCAGCTGACCCCGCCTCGGTCAGGGAAGCTCGGCTACAGGAAGCCAGGATCATCCGGGGCTGGGTGGAAGCGGCCACCAAGTAGCATCCAAGTTGCCAGCCGGTGTCTTTTAACAGAAGCCCCCCCCCCCCCCCAGACCGCTGGGCGTGAAGGGAGGGGGGACTGTAGCGTTCTCCTTAAGCAGTGACACTCTCATGCTCTCTGCAGTGCTGAAGAATAAGGAATAAAGTTTCCTCCAGGGGGACCTTCCTGGGTTGGGAGGTTCATGGAGGCTGGGATGAAACTGGCGTTTTGTTTACCTCTTTCCAAGAAAGGATCTGGGAACTTTTGGGGGGTGGGGGGTGGAGAGAAGAGGGAGGAAGAGTTCAAACTTTATGCTAAGATGCACTGAAGATTGGTCGTGCTAAGTCAGGGACCCTGAAAGCAATTGGAGTGCTACCCTGAGTTGTACCTTCAGATCATCTAGCCAGGTCCTCCTCCACCCTGGTAGAAACCTGGAAGACTCCCACACACACACACACACACACCAAGGAAAAAAACTACTTTCCTTCGCCAACTTGGTTCACTTGGAGACCCTACGCGGGAAAGTTCTACCCGGGTTGCTATCAAGGGATGATGATGCCACAGGGCTTGAGCCCAGGGTGAGTTTCACTTCCTGGCACCTTTCTTCAAAGGGGTATCCTTCCATCCTTCAACCTCTCACGCAAAGGCCAACTTAACCCACGTAAACCAATCAGTGGCTCAGAAAAAATGCAGGGTCTCAAAATAAATTGGAAAGTTTATTAAGGTGGAGTAGAATTCTGCAGATTGAACTTCCCAGCCAGAATCACTTTTAAGATCGCTTTCGTTTTCAGAGATTTCTCCCCCCGCCCCACTTTGAACCGTTTGCACGTTCGCAAAAGAAATCAGTTCTACTTTACAAATACTTTGGACCAGATCACACCCACAAGATTTCAGCAAGTCTGTCTCTTCTTGGGAGAGGGAGAAAAAAAAAGGATAAATTGAAAGTGATAGCCAGCTTTCTCTACCAAGTTTGGCTCCCCTCACTTCCGGTCCGCTTACAGCCAATGATCCAGTTGTGCCTGATCATTTCAGACTCCGTCCTCTGCTCTTAAGACATGAGATGAACTGGCCATGATAAAGACGGCACGAAAATCACGCGGAACGTGTCCCCATTTGGCTGCGCAAGACAAACAAAAAAATGTATGTTTTCCTGGCAGATTTCCTCTTGAAATTTCCAAACTAGGATGACATTCCAGCCTCCATGGACAACACGAGGCAAGTGGAAATTCAGGGTTGTGCACCGACAAAGCAGCAAAGCAATTCTGCACTGGGAGGGCGTGTGTGTGTGTGTGTGTGTGGTTTGTTCAGCATCTAACTCTGAGAAGGAGCCGGGAAACAAACATCCTAGGTGGCTTGTTTGAAAGAGGCTCGGAGAACTGCAGGTGGTTGGTGGGTCTGCAGCCCAGATCTAGGCTCTGCTGGAAGAAATGCTCGCATTTGGGGACGTGACCAACCCAAAACTTCTCTTCCCCCTCGAAACCAGAAGGCACCAGTTCAAAGTAAAGTGTCGGCCTCCCAAAACTGGGGTTTTACAGTATGGCTTTTAAATTCCAGGGTCTATTTAAACAGGAGAACAGGAAACTATACAATAGTGCCTTGCAAGCCCCCCCCCCTCGAAAGCCAGAACCGTGTAGTCTCCCCCCCCCCCCCAAATTCAGTTTGTGGCCACAACAGCAAACAAAATGCCATTTAAAAGAACATGGCGACAGTGAAGTTCTCCAGCAGTCCACAGAGTGGGAAGAAATCTTCCTGATTGTGACGCTATTGTGCTCCAGCTGTTCCAAGCATTTGATTCTCTCCCTCTCTTGAGCCTTGTGATATTGCAGGGGGCAGGAAGGGAGTCCGAGAGATCTGAACAGCTCTTGTCTTGATCTTTACCGCCACCTCATCCATCAGGTAGCACCAAACGAGTCTCTTGAGTAACATGCCTGTTGTTGGGATGGGGAGAAGAAACTACGGGATCCCCCTCCCTCTGCATCCACTTTCTCGCAGAAAACGATCCCGCCCGGGATTTCTGCCGCAGCTCCAGCGGTGCCATGAGCTCGTGCGGTTCCTTTCTGTGCCAAGGGGGGGGGCAGTGCCAGTCTGCCTGCCTGGTCCTCTTCCCCCGGGGGCCGGGATTTAAAGCAGCCATTCCAGCTACAACGTCCCCAGGCAGGAGCAGCAGCGAGCATGAATGGCACAATTATTAGGGAAGCCCCCAAATACAAAAAAAAAAAAAACAGTCCCACCAAAACTCATGAATCTTTCTCTCTGCCCCCACTTTAAAGTGCTGAGATAGAGCGACTGGAAGAAGGAAGGAGGGACACGAAAGCTAGAAAGAACAGGGGGGGAAAGACAGAGAAAGGAAGGGCTGGCATGGAAAGGCAGACCCTGCCCACGCCAGAGAGCCTGGGGGAGGGGCACCACCTCTTATCTTGCCTCAGAGACAGACAAAAAGACCACCACCACAAAGCGTAAAGCGGAAGCTAACGAGCCTTCGTGCCATGTTTCGGTGTAACTGTATCGTGAGTTCACACCTTTAGCGAGCCGTTTCCTCCGTGGCTGGTAGTTCAGAGCCGCTGAGCAGAAGTTGGTTAGTTGCTTGGCTTTTTAAGCCCAACTTTCCAGGGAGAGCTAGTGGGCAGAATCCGCTCTGGGGGGTAAGGATTGTGACCTGCTCCTTCCTTGACCTCCAGCCCACCCCTCCACCCCCAATATGCTTTCAAGGTAAAGGTCAACCTCCAACCTGGAAGAGGAACTCATGCAGAAAGCAGTTTTCGGAAGGATACCTGAGCCAAAACATTATCCATATTATACACACATAAATTCCTACATAGATAACTTCCCGGTTGGGGTTTTTTTTTTCCCCTTTTCCCCATAATTAAATTTTCACATTTTTCTCCCTGCATTGCTGCAGATAAGTTAAGAAAATATATATATATATATATTTACCATCCCATCCAGCTTCTCCCCCAGTTTGTAACAGGGCACAAATTCCTCCCCCTCGGGGATCAGGAGGGCAGTAACACTGTTTTCGAGGGAGCATTGTCCCTTTCCCACCCCCACCTGCAGCTGTGGAATGAAGTCACAGCCCCAGGGGCGTTGGCACAGGGCCGCCTTTTCCCTCCTGAAGGGCCTCTCCCGCCCAGAGGTGGAGCGGAGTGGAGCTAGTTTTCGGGTGCTCCCTGGGTCGAAGCGAGCCCCACTTGCCCGTCCCTTGCTTGGGTGCCCCTTTCCGGAGAGGAGGCAGTGGTTCCGGAGACCCCCCCCCTTCCCTCACGTACAATTCCTCCAGGAAGCCCCTTTCACCAGGAATGTCGCTCCGCCTTCCACACGCCTCCCCTTGGGGTCCCAGGAATCGGGCCTGTGAATGGCTGACGGCTTCGGTTTATGCCGATGGCCTGATGGGGAGCGGGTGGGCCTCCGTGTTGAAGACATACTGGTCCAGGTTGATCAAGTTGACGTCGTCCGAAAAGAGCAAGAAAAAATACTTGAGGGTTTCGCCCAGGAAAAAGCTCTCCATTTTGTCTCTCGGCTCCGGGTTGCTGGGGCTCTGGACGTTGTCGATGGACGTGTAGCCTCCAGTTGGGACCTGGGTGGAAGAACCCATGTGTGAAGTCAGAAGGCCACCAAGGTTCACCATTGTTTTAGGATATGTACAGAATAACCCTTGAGTAACAAGGATATATGCACATGGAAACGTTTATGAGAGTAGTTATGAATAATTATTCAGCCACACACAGCTACACTGAACTGAGTTAAAGTTTATTTTAAGAAATAGCACAGTCCAATAAACGGTCCAGGTCATATACGTTTTACAGTCGGAAGAATATCCAATTACAAAGTCTTCTTACCGGTTGCCTTTGTCATTTCCAGTAAACAAAAATATCAACGTATAAGCACAGCTTAGATAGCAACAGAATGTCAGAAAGACAGAATGTCAGAGATACAGCATGTCACAGAGAGCAAGCCATGATCTCTAGCTCCCTCTTATGGTAATTCACAATACAATCAACCAATCAGAACATAGTACAAATCAATCACGCCTGGCCTGCCCCAAAGCTCAGACTTACCCGGGTGTACTGGTTGAAGCTCTGCAAGATCTCCCAGCCCCAATCCTGGTACTTCTTATCGCCGGTGAACCGGTAGAGGTAGAAGAGGCTCTCCACTGTCTCGGGACGCAGCAGATTGTGCCTGTCAGCCGTCTGGGCAAAGAAGAGCAGAAGGGGAGCTGAAGGGCATGGCTACCCCCCGTGGGTGACTCGGATGCCCGCCTCATTCAGGGCGGGCTGTGAATCAGGAGGCTAGTCTCCTCTGTTTGGTGCTCCGGGGACCCAAAGGTAGGATCAGCCCTGCTGAACCGCTGACCTTAATTTCCACGTCCTTCCGGTCCTTTTGTGGGTGCGTGTTGAAGTGGACAATTTCAGGGCTCAGGCCGGTCTCCACTTGGGCGTACATCTGGTAGCAGGTTTCTGCCAGCTCCGCCGCCAGGGTCAGGTGATCTGCAGGGAGCCCGTTGTGAGCCCCGAGAGCCAGCACGCCAGGCAGGAAGCAGACCAGGTGATCCTGCTCCGGAAACACAAGACGGAGGAGAGCTTGTGGGAGACCGACTTCCTCTGCTGAGCCCTGGGAAGAGCTCCTGGGCTGGGCCTCCCTGCATGCCACGCTTGGCTGGTGGCATCGCCAGCTGCCTTCCTGTCACAGATCTGAGAAAAGGGACTCCTTATTCAAAACAGAGGAACGGATGTGACAATTGAAGAGGAGGGGGAAGAGCTGCGCAGGCAGTTAGGGGCCCTCGAGAAGGCCAGGTGCTGGCAGCCCAGTAGGACTCCACGTGATCCCTGGACCGAAGGGCTGAAAACACAGCGCTTGGGAGCCTGGAATCTGCCTCGTTAAGCAAATCCATCCGCTGCCTTTCAATAACTGGGACAGGAAACATGACTCAGCAACGCTCTTGCTAAACACGGAGGGCATCTGGCTGCTGAAGAGGAAGCAAGAGCCTCGGCCGTATCACGGCCGCACACCACGAGACTCTCTGTAATTGCAAAAAGAAGGGCGCCCCGTGCTACCTCCCCCGCAAAAAAGGCTCACCATCTTCGCACTGAAATGACCGTGAGCGAGTTCCCCGACAAAGGTCAGCCTTTTGGGATAGGATTTCCGGAGCAGGTGCCTCTTCACGCCCTCAATAGCCTTCACATAATCTTCCAGGAGCCTGTCCGGAGGGGGAGGGAGGAGAGGAAGGGGGCCATTGTTAGTGGCTGGGCTTCTTCCAAACTGCTGCTAGCCAAGCTATGGTGCATCCCTAGGGCCCACAGAGAATGCCGCCCGTTAAGTTTTTTCTGCCTTTGGCACCCTTGCCTCATTTACAGTTATCTTCAGCCCATAAACTGAAGAGCCACCACACATGGTGTGCGAGAACGGGCGCATGCATGGTTTCCTTTGAGAAGACCAGAAAGTATTCCTGGCTGTGAGAACGAATTAGCTGCTTCCACCCTGACTTCAATTCTACCCACATTCCATTTCTGTACCAAGCTTGCAGGGAAAAGCCCTAGAATTCTCCACGGGAAACCCTGCGGGCTTCTTATAAAAGGAAGGAAGGGGAATTCTAAAAAGGAGGAATTACTCGTTCTCCTTCTTCCCTCCCTGGATCCACTGCTTGAGCAAATACTCGTAGTAGCTGTCAGCTCGAGCCCCCAGGGTGTAGACCCCGAGGTGGGTGAACTGGCCACTGTTGGTGTTGATAAACATGGGCACCAGGCCGTCGTTCTTGCCGGAGAGGGAGTGGACGTGTCTCATCACGCTGTCCACAGCGTTCTAGGAGGCAAAGGAACACACAGTGGGCGCTTTGGCACACGGGCCCACCGGAACCAGGAAAAGCAGTATACAAACGGCGCTCTGAAATACGTGGGGCAGCCGGGATTCCCAGGGATTGGACCCAGTTCCATCCAGCCTCACCCTGTGCTGCCTTCTCTTTACCACTGACTGCAACTGAATAGCAAAGAGGCAGGCAGACTGACTGGCCCATGCTCGGTACCGTAACTGTCTATCCCAAAAAGTAAGGAAGTGCCCACTTCTTCAATTAGGTAGTTTCTTCCCCTCCGCGCCACCTCCACCCCACAGCCTAGGCCATTAAGAGGAGGGGAGGCCCAGCCAATCCACTCACCCCCGTACCTTAAATTTCTCTTCACCAGTCAGGCGCGAGAGCTCCCGGAATTCCAGCTGGATGCTGGTCACTTCGGCCACAGTGCTGTCGGAGGTCCAGCGTGGGGGGTGGGCTGTGCCCTTCCCAATGTTGACGTCCGAAAAGGGGATCTTGGAAGGGGTGTTGAAGGCGGGCATGAGCCTGCTCCCGATGTCTTTCTGAACACGGGGGGGAGAGAAATTGCACAAGGGTAAGCAGGGAGGGAGAGAAAGGAAAGCGATTGATCGTTCTTAGGGGCTGGGAGAGAGGAGAGAGCGATCCAGAGGCCCCCCCCCCACCCCACCCCCATCGTTCTCAGGAGGGCAGGGACCCTCCGGGGGTCTCCAGAGGCAAGCAAGGTACCTACTGCTTTTTCCAGGAAAAGGCTGTCCCCAGACAAGTGGTAAGTGCTCAGCAGGCCCCCCAGGATACGAATGGCGCTCTCAAAGAGATTGACGTCCACGTCTTTCTGGAAGTCCAGCTCCTTGGCGACCCACTCTCGGGCTTCTTGGAACTCTGCATTAGGGAAAAGGACGGCCAGAAGCTTGAGCCAACTTCTCCCAGGCAGGGAAGGAAAAGCACCTGCCCAAGCACCTGCCTCCAAATCCCACCTACTCTGAGAGAGAAGCCCCAGGCCCTGGCCAGGCTTCCTTCCTTTATCTTTCTTTCTTTCTTTCTTTCTTTCTTTCTTTC